ACAGTATACAGTGATTATTTCCCATAACAGGCCCTTTTCATAAATCCTCACATAAATAACACCATTTTTTGGCTAAAAAAATTACAAATTATGTGATGAAATATGGAATACTGCCAGACGTGTTTGACCTAGACTGATATTAAAACAGAAAATGAAGAACACAGAAATTTGTCCATAATCTCCACAGGTTTCCAGGTCTGTCATACTGGCATATGAAATTTTGATTATGTAACTATCCATAATAAAACTCTCTAGCAAGAAACCACTGGTTCAACATTACCAATACCAAATTGCCCCACAGCACACAGCCAACTTCAAAAAATGAGCAAAAGAACCTGAGTGAGCCTCAACATTTACAAAAGAGTGTTTCACAAGTCACCTTCAAGAAACATGAGCCAAAATAATCTACGTATTATCCACACAACTTATAGTTAATAGACCCCAAAAGGCTGAGCACAAGCCATGCTCATCCCATGCAGACATTCACACTCAGAAAATAGTGAACAGCTTTCTTCCTTCCAAACTGTATCAAAAGACTTCCAGTGGTAGTGTTTATCTGAGGCATCAAAGACCAATTAAACCTATCACAAATTGGTATTCATGTTCAGATTTTGATTGTGTCCCTCTAACACATAAAAATTCTCATTAAATTGTATAAATTCCATTTCTCAACTAAATCAATGTTGTCTCTTCCTGTACGCAAGCAGCCATATTAGTATGATTTAGTTCTAGTGGTTAAGAGGAGAATTAAAAAATATAATAATAAAACTGTAAGAGACCTGTCCGCTGAGCGAACTAACCCTGCCACCATACTGTAGCTTGGGTGGGGGTAGGACGCGTCCCCGCACTTCCATCATGTTGTTGCTAATGGTGAGGCCAAACTCTTGAACATAAGCATCATTATTGAAGTCAGCCCGCCTGACCAAGTTGTTGATCTCTCTTTCACGGTCTGGCGCTGAACGGGCTGTTGCTTTTATCATTGTTGACGTCTGCATGTCTGTTAGTTTCTTAATACAGCGCTGACCTGCCACTATATTGCATACCTGAAGAGGAAACATACTATCAACATATACTGTGAAAATGTGAACTCCCCTGATCAACACTTGTACACAGATGAACAAACTGGAGAAACACTATATCATGTCCTCTTGAAGACAGTGATGTTAACAAAGCAGTTCATTAAAACACAGTACCATCACTCAAAAGTACAGATACAAATAAATTGTGGGTTCAAAAGTAACTGGTAGCAATTCAATTGGTAGCCCTCGATTTGCGCCGATTCAGAATAACGCCGATTTTGAAACCACCAAGTCAAAAAGTGGAAAAAAACATACTTTACTATTATTTATAACATTTTACAATGTATCTCGTGCTGATTCTTATACTAAATCGTAATTCTTACATCACTGATTTTGAACTATAAATACAGTCATCTCTGCAATTACGCACGTTTCGTTAACACGAATTTGCTCCAATGAGATCGATGAATTGGTAAAAGCTGTTTGTGAAATGCAAACTTTTGCATATGTGAGTTTGCTCTTATGCAATTTCATTCCCGGCGCTTGAAACTTTCAAAGGACTAATTTGATCTCTGCGGAGGTACCGGGGTTATTTTTACTACACGACTTTCTATATGTCAGAGTCTTACATGAATGCAACTATTGCGTAACAGCAGGGATGACTGCATGCATCAGTCACATGAAAGAACCGCAGTCAATCGCAGGAACCAACAAATTGCCGATTGTAAGCGCATAAAATATATTTTTTAATTCCCTTTATTTTATTTACGTTATTTGAGAGCTTTAAATGTAATGCCATTATATTACTTGTCAATGTTTGGGTGCTGGGAATGCATGTCATATTCTTCCCATTGATTTACATTATAAAAGAGTTTCAATTTACGCCGACTCCGTTTATGCCGGTTCATCCAGGAATGCATCCCTGGCGTAAAACGAGGGCTACCTGTAACTGCAATGTGTAAGTAAGTCAACTTTCACTACATTAGCACCAACATTATATACCGTATTTGGTCTGTTCTTAACCATCAGCAGAAAGAACTCTACAAGCTTAAATTATGCAACAATTAACAACTGTTGTATATTTTGAAGTCTGAATATAAAGAGTATCAGAATCATTTTATTTACAATTTACATCCTCTGCTTTATGCATCATCCTTTTTGGTTAAGCATGATTAGTGAACAATGAATGTCACATTATTAGAAAATGTACCCCAAGAAAAAGACACAAAAGCAAATAAATGGATAAATCATGTGCAACTATGACAATAACAGTAACAAATAATTGGGTAAATATGGTACGAGGCGCGTCCACAAAGTAAGTTTCCCACTCGTCCCACAGCTAGCAAACCTTATATTGCGCAAAGCGACTGTGCGTACGTGATAGAGCAATGACGTAGCATGGCGCATGCACTAACGGCACCTCCCGCGTTCTCACAGTAGCATCGTTGCAGCTGTTGAAGATGGAGGTTCTTATTCCAGCTCCCGCCGACTGTTAAGTGCGGTCAGTGATAACGCTAGGCTGCACACGGCTCGACGGACAGCAAGTCTCCTGCAGGAGTTCAGCTGCGAGGCGTTTAATCATTCACCCTACAGCCCGGACCTCGCTCCCAGTGATTTCCATCTTTTCCTACACCTCAAGAAATTCCTGTCTGGTCAGCGTCAGCGTTTTGAGAATGACAGAGAGGCGGAGATGGTTGTCACACAGTGGTTCCAATCCCAGGCGGCAGACTTCTACGACACAGGTATTCAAAAGTTGGTCCCACAGTATGACAAATGTCTCAATTCCGGTGGCGAATATGTTGAAAAATAGCTGGACACTTGCTGTATCTGTTGCAATAAATATTTCCATGAAATTGTGTTTTGTTTCTGTAAACGGCCCCAGGGAAACTTACTTTGTGGACGAGCCTCGTATTACACTGCTTTTGCTACTTACATTCCTGTAACAACTCAACCTGCAATGCAAAACATAAATTCACAACAGATTTCTAGATGAAACTAAACTTTTGGTCAAAAATACAAAGAGGAGAGAAAAGTGTTGGTTGAGGCAGTTTAGTTGTCTTACAGTGCTGTATACTCACAGCTAAAGTTTATGTCAAATCTGTTTGCTTGCACTTGTTCTGGAAGGGATGCGTGAAATTTATGAAATGTTTGAAGGGCAAGGTATAAAAGTTTGGGAACCTCTGCATTATGGCCATTCTTCAAACCTGTGGTTCTCAAACTGTAGTTCACAAAACTGTTAGTGGTATGGATTGTGTTTCTGGAGGATTTTTTCTGCCAACATTATTTTATGCTAAACCCCCCCCCCCCCCAATTGGTGACACTCCATCCGTTTGTTGCAAAATTACCAATTTTATAGTATATTAGCATGAGCCGGGATAGCTCAGTCAGTATAGTGACTAGCTACGGGCTGGACGACTGGGGTTCGATCCCGGACGGTGACAGAGCATTTTTTACTCTAGCCTCTGGGGCCCACCCAGCCTCCTCTACAATGGGTACCGGGGTCCTTTCCTGGGGGTAAAGCCGGCCGGGGCGTGATGCTGACCACTCACCCCCATCTAGTGCCGAGGTCAAGGAAGAGAGGAGCTATACCTCCACTCACCCCAAACGCCTACATGGCATATAGTGGGACAAACTTTACTTTACTTTACTTTATAGTATATTAGCACCTTTACTTTCAGTTAATGAAATGATTTGAGAAAAACAGTAAAAATTGCTGTGTGGAAAAAAACAAGGTTAAACCAAGGTCTGTAAAGAAACACTGAAGTCCTTACCTCAAGTGGCAGATATGTGTGTTTATGTTCTTGCCCCACCTGTAGACATGGCAGGTGCGGATATCGTAGCTTCATCTTGTACTTATCCAGGAAATACTTTGCTACTGTACATTCCACCGTCTGCCCATTTTCTAGTTGAAGTGGAAAACTGAGGAAATAAAATAAGAAATTATTTTACAGGACATGAATACAAATTGCAAGTAGCCAACATTCTTTATCGTTGCATTCACTAGCGATACAATTATTTAAAGTCAGCCTCAAAAACAATATTTAAACATTACAACCAAGAACAGGATTTGAAAAACCATTTACTAAACAAAAGCCATTTTAAAACATCAACCATTTCTTCAAAAGTGTCTTTTATATCTAATAGTAGATCTGCAAGGCATGAAAGGTCTTAAAATCACACAGTTTTTCTGATTCTGTGTTTCATTCATGTTTTTAGCAGTAAATACTTAAAAATACCAAAGCCTGAAAAGCACAACATAAGTTATGAAAACACTGTAATAATGAGACAAAATTATGGACTATTAAGCAAACTTCATGCCAAACTAGAGTTAAGAGTTTATGATACAATGTGCATTAAATGAAAACAGACATAATCTAAAATTCTCTCAAGCAATCAGCTGTGTCAAAGTTGAGTTAAAAACCAATGTTTTGAACACCTGCTCCGTATTCATTACCACAGTTTATTGTAATGTCGAGACAGAGCAGTCCTCCAAAATGCTGATTTTTAATTTATCTCTGGTGCAGATTATTACTGATGAGAATTTTGGTGCATTTATTCAGTGTGAAAACTTCAAATCTTAAATCAGAAGCAGTCATGTGCATCATCATCCTATTAGCCTAAATAATTAAGAGTGCACTGCATGAACAACTTATCTATAGGTTATTTCATCATAAGGCAGAGGTTATACAGCATCAAATAAAATCTGAACATGAATACGAATGGTTAGCAGACAAGGACTCGGAAAAAGAAGCATGGCCTATTTAAAGATACATTCTCACATTCACCCAGAGAGACTGATTAATCATTCAGGATAGCTAATAGCCTGGCTGAAGTTCTGAGTACCTATAAAATACAGGTCTAGAGGGTTACTGCTACAACCGGCTTGATAATATACTGTAAAGAAACTTTAGTTGACAAAAGCCCACTGAATTAAAAATTTAAAATATACACGTTAGGAAACCTGAAAGACATATCGTGAGAACAGATATGTACACACAGTAACTGCTCATATTAATAACTTCAGCATAAACAGACCCATATTATCAAATGGTCTTTCAATCCTTCAAACCAAGGTCCACAAATGTTTGCGAAGTTAGGCCCATACACTCACGATTGCATCTGTGCTGGTCGTCTTGTCACATTACACACTCTGTACTTCCGCCTCATGGAGCCACAGTGTGTGATTTCAATCTTGAGCCCCTTGATCTCTTTGGTGAACTTAACCCTCTGGGAATCTGTGAGAGGTTTACGCTGCTCATTTATGTCCCGTATGTCCAATACTTCGCACATGAACTCAATCACAGGTTGTGCCTTGTAGAATGCCGTTGCAGAAACTGACAACAAAATGGTTGTGCACAATATCCATTACATCTCCCTTTCCTACACTACTTGCTCAAACGGCACTAAAATTGCCCTGCCATGCAAAATGTACAGCATACAAAAAATTAGACCAATATAAAAAACACTACTTTTCTAACAACAGTTTATTATTTTCTATTACAATACTCATTTTGAAGCATTCTTTAGAATTCTGAGCTGTAGACTGTAACATTACATTAATTTAATCAATTTGAAAAACAATGTAAACATACAGACATTAAAACTCAAAATTCCCTAAAATATGGCATCTAATTGGACACAGAACTTCAATTTAAATCCACAAAGCCAAAGGAACAGTACTCTGAATGCATATACAGTGACTTCACAATCCTTGGCAAAATCTCCAGAACTACTCATAACAGCAAACAGGATTCATAAATTATTTTCCTTGCAAATTGGTACCCCTGATTGGTCAATATGGTTCCAAAGTACCATCCTGGGTTTGGTTTTAAAAATTATTCCCAATAGCAAACTTCACAATAATATTTCAGAGTCCAAATACAGATCATGCAAAATGCTTTTCTACACTCTCAAATACTGTATGAAAATATCAGTCTGGGCTTGGATTTTATTACATTGTTTCAGTATGACACGTATCTTGTAATATATATAAAGAAACATTTTTAAACAGTTTAAATGTGGAGTTTCATATTTCCCAAATAAACCAGAATAAAGTTCCAACAACAAAGTTTAGTACACAACACAAATATTGTACAGAAGTTTCTAAATGTGTTCATGGGCAGTAAATTTTAAGCCCATTACTCAAGATTCAAAATGGCAACTACCCCAGCAAAGTTTTGACTTTCACCTAGTGGCACACAACTAACCACATACCATCAATGTTCAGCATCATTTTCCACTGGGAAGGTCTCACAGATTGATGGAAACCAAACCACACCTCCCTCCCTCCACCTAGTGGATGATAGTAGCCATCTGGTGAAGAGAAGAATGACCTTCCTACAGGAGTATACGTCATTGAAGGTAAGTGACGCATAACAACATCCAAAGCCTGCAATCATTAATAGGCATATTAAAGCGTTTCTTAAAACACGATGACATTGTGAAATCAATGCTGCTTATCAGCTTAAAATTGTCCAATGTAACTGGTAGCCAACATACAAGATCGAGTGTAAAATACTATTCCTGTACATAGAAAGTTATCTTACCAGAATGGCATCGTATGGAATTTGCCTTGTACGTCCCTCAAGTGCTTCTTCTAAGGCAAACAATGATACTTGGGCCACCCACTTTATTGTAACTCGAAACACACGATCTTTACCTTCGCCAGGTAATGTCACCTAAAACAACCCACAAAATTGGCACCTGCCCACAATTCTTTTAGTCACACACAAAAAAGTAACAAAAAAATGTCAGTACAAGCTGAGAAAACCACTGAAAATCAAAAGTAAGCACAAAATCTATTCCTTTACAAATGTTACTTTACTGGAATACTGAATTCTAAACAACTATTTAACATAAGCAATGACCGATTGTCTTACTGCATACAATGATATAACTTCAAAACATAAAATCTGCTCAGTTTGCAATAGTACACTGAATAACAATAAACTATTATAAATCACAATCTGAATAATATTGAAAGTGATATGTTAATTATATCAATGACACTACTTTCACTAGGATATATTTGGATACAAGTTACCTTATCTGCAGGCAATTTTATCTACATACCATATAATAACAGATACTTTACCTCCAATTCAACTCTGTCATTTCCTATAGGTAGTGGATCCCTCGTATAAAGATTATTTCGTCCATCAAACACAGGTTTCAGAGTTCCAAAAATTTTGCTATATGCATGGACCATTGTTTCAATAATCTCCCTGTTGACTTTGCGAGGACATTTGTCTGGCTGAATGTTGATATCATAATGATGAACAAAGCCTCGAGGCATAGATATTTGGAAGTGGTTTGCGCGAAGAACTATTGGTCGACCTTCCCGGCCCAAGTTGGGTCTTCTTGGACAATTAAACACTGCAATTTTGAGATCATTAAAATCACTAGAGGTGTACTTCACAGCGAAGGTATCCATATATTACAATTAATTCCTCCACTTTGGTAATTAGGCAAGAATACACACTTAGTATTTTCTGCACATATTTCTAGACCAAGATCCTAACTACTCTCTAAGAATTTTTCTTCTTCTTTAAGCTATTTCTGTTTTTGCATTATAAATTAACATAAATAACAGAGACCTGTAGTTGATGCACTCCAATCAATTAAAATCCCTTTGGACTTTCCTAATGGTGTAAATGAGGGGCTGGCAACCAACAGGCCATGTGGCCCAGATTATATTTTTATGCCATCACATTACTTCAGAATTTGCCAATGTCAGAAAAGCAAATATTTTCTGCTACTGAGAACATTTGGGCAATCAAAATATATATACAGTCAAACCTCGGTTCACGAACGCCTCAGATCACGAACAATTCAGTTTACGAACAAATTTTCCGAACACAAAGTGTCTTGGATGACGTACTGTGTCTCGCGTTTCGAACACGCAAGCCGTCAACATCGTGGAGTGATAAGCTGGGAGTATCAGCGTCGGCAGTATTCATAGAAGAATGATCCAGCATGGGGCCAAAGAAAGACAATGATAGCAGCAAAGTGAAAAGTAAAAATACCAATATCATGATAGATGTTAAGAAAGAAATCATAGCCAAACATGAAAATGATGTTTGTGTCTCTGATCTTGCTACTTCTTTGATCCGTGAAATTTGTGCAAAATGGGGTGAGGTGCAAAGTTTCGTGGAACGATATCACCCTGATAAAGCAGTAGCAAGCCACAGCATAAACATTTTCAATGATAATGCCATGTGTCACTTTAGAAACATTTTAAAACGTAGACAAAGGACAACTTTTCTGGACAACTTTTTAGTGAGACAGAGGCCCAGTGAGTCTGATGCAGAGTCGAGTGGTGC